GAATTATTTTGGACAGATTCAAAAGTTGTTCTTGGCTACATAAACAATGACGCCAGAAGGTTTCAAGTGTTCGTAGCTAACCGCATACAGAGAATCAAGTCCAGCACGAAGCCTGAACAATGGGCTTATGTTGCTTCAGAAGACAATCCAGCAGATCATGCCTCTCGAGGTTTAACTGCAAAGCAACTGAAGACTTCAAACTGGTTCACAGGACCAACGTTTCTTTGGCAAAAGGACCTACCTGTAAGAGAATGCAAGGTGGGAGAAATCAATGAGGATGATCCTGAAATTCGCAAGGCTATCGTGTGCAACACAAAGGCAAAAGAAGACAGGTCATTATTGGATCGCTTACAGAAATTCTCTGATTGGTCAAGGGTAGTAAGAGCAATTGCAAGACTGAAACGACATGCCAAAGAACACCAAGGTACGAAACAAAGAACCAATGAATGTAAAACCATCGAAGAAAGGAAAGAAGCAGAACTTTTCATCATCCAGCTAGTTCAAAAGGAGTCCTTCTCAGATGAGCTAAAGAGCTTGAAACAAATGAAAGCAGTTACCAAGGCCAAAGACAGTAACCTGTTCAAGCTGAATCCATTCCTGGATGAAGAAGGTATCCTGAGGGTGGGAGGACGCTTAAGTCAAGCTTCATTGCACCCACATGTTAAGCATCCGGCTATACTGCCAAAGAAAAATCATGTATCAGCTTTGCTTATCAAGCACATTCACGAAAGACAACATCATCAGATGACGATGAACGAACTGCGAGCTAATGGATGGTGGATCCTGGGATGCAGCAGTGCGGTCTCGGCGCACATCTTTAACTGTGTCAAGTGCAGAAAGTACAGAAGACGTCCTGAAGAGCAAAGAATGGGTGACTTACCTCAGGACAGAACGGAAATCAGTCCGCCCTTTACCTATACTGGCATAGACTGCTTTGGTCCGATCTATGTTAAGGACGGAAGGATCTCAAAAAATATGGTCTCTTACTTACCTGTTTATGTTCAAGAGCCATACATATAGAGATGATCGATGACATGACTACTGATGCATTTATCAATGCTTTAAGAGCATTCATGGCCATTAGAGGTAATGTTCGTCAATTGAGATGTGACCAAGGCACTAATTTTGTTGGTGCAAGAAGAGAGTTTGCAGAACTCATGAAAGGAACGGATCAAGAAAGAGTGAAGGATCTAGGATGTGAGTTTCTTATGAACCCTCCAGCTGCAAGTCACATGGGTGGTGTCTGGGAAAGGCAAATAAGAACTATAAGAAGTGTTCTTACAGCTATTCTGGATAAATCAGCACAAAGGCTCGACAGCACCTCCCTAAGGACTTTCCTGTATGAAGTCTTGGCTATCATTAACAGCAGACCACTCACAGCAGAACATTTGAATGATCCATCCGGACCCCGAACCTTTAACTCCAAACCACATACTCACAATGAAGTCCACAATCATTCTTCCTCCACCTGGTCAATTTGTAAAAGAAGATCTTTACCTTAAGAAGAGGTGGCGCAGAGTGCAGTATCTGGCTAACGAGTTTGGACAAGATGGAAGAAAGAATATCTTTTGAACTTACAGCCAAGACAAAAGTGGCATAAAGACAGAAGGAACGTGAAGGTCAACGACATCGTCCTTCTACAGGGATGATCTGACACCTCGTAATGAATGGAAGCTGGCCAAAATCACAGAAGTCTTTCCAGGGTCAGATAGTAGGGTCGGAAAACTTAAATTACTGGTTAGCCAAACCACATTAGACAAAAAGGGGAAACCCACAATTAGGACTGTGTTCCTTGAAAGACCTGTACACAAGGTTGTTACTCTGCTTGAGGCAGAATAAGGTGTTTAATGTGTTGCCTGAGATTCCATGTTAAGTTGTTATCTACAGGTAATGTCTATTTCAAAGGGTAAAGCGTTTACTTTGTACAAACAATCTTTTGTGTGAAATCTCACGAGTAATGTGTGATTTGGTGGGAGTGTAAGTGCAGCCTTTACATGTTCATAATTTAACTGTAATGTGTATTTTCTAAGTGTACTAATTATTATTGTTGTAATGTTTCATGCGTGCAATATTTCGTCTTTTATTTTGAAGTCCAAGCTCACGTCTCGTTATGCTGTTCTCGCGTGAGTTAGAGAGCGAGAACATGAGAAGCACCCTCAGAGTAAGATGCACGGATACTTAAAGCTCCGTTAGTTTTGTATTCTTATACATATAAGTTGTGAAGAGAACTGAAGAATACTTCCCTCTGTTTACAGAGCATGCAAGCCCAACGAGGTATGTTGTTGTGTTTGTATTACTTTTATGTTTATTATCTCACATGCTGTGCATGTTATTGTGTGTCTAACACGAAACTATGTTGTCATTTTATACTGTTTGTTTGTGTAGTTTTCACGGTGGATTCGGAGGAATAACCCGTTATGAGAAAGCCACTTGTGTCTGCCCTGTGCTTCGAGGGAATTACAGTGAAAACTCGACTGTCCATCGACGCGAGTGTGTCTTAATTGACGAAGCGGCAACTTCAGAGGATCACGGACTGAGCACGAGGCTGTCTTCAAATGGCCGCCGGAGGAGGGAGAAACTACGCATGCACACACAGAAGTGGACGACGCGCGCAGTTCTTAAAAGAGCAACGCTTCAAGACAGAGCCACAAAGAACTTGGACACTAAGAAATCAATAGTGATCCGAGTAAAGGGCTTCTGTAAAGGTTTGCTAAACCATTATTACCGTGAGTGCCAACTATAGTAGCGTGTGTGGTTAGCGTTTTGACTTATTTGCCCATGTCATTTTACTAAGGCTTGTTAATTAAGGCGTAAAGTTAAAGGGAACACAAGTGTTTTTATTTCCAATTTCTAATTCAAAGTGTGTTTTTGGGAATACTAAGTGAAAGTTATTTCATTGAAGTTCTGAAGTCTTATTTTTGAGTATATTTTTGAAAGGTGTAAAGTTCAATTAAGCTGTTTTTTGCACATTTTCTATTTTAAGTGCATTTCTACCTCTATTGAAGTCTTATAGGGTACATTTAAGTCACACTTACATTTGAGTAAGTGTTGAAAGTTCATTAAAAGGTTTAACTGCATTTTGCTGTTTATAAAAGTGAGTCACTTTAAAGTAGTGATTACTAATGTCTAAGTCTAGTGAGCCTACAATTCAGGTTAGGGAAAGAGCAGGGCCCCAATACGAAGCTGTGGATAACACTGAAGCACAGCAGCTAAGAAGAGGTCAAAGAACTAAAACTCCTACAGAAAAGGGTAGAGAAATGCAAGAAGAACAAATGAAAACGCTCCTACAAAAGTTCAACTACAATTATGAGAAATGGAGAACACAAGTGAAAACAGCTAAGCGGCCATTATCTCAAACAACAGAGTCTTTGTCTGAAGATTTGCTTAAGGCGAGACACCCCAGGTGAATAGGGTAATTTTTTTAACTTAAAAGTATCAGCTAGAAATTTCTCCAGTTAAATACTTACAATAAGGCAATTGTTTTTTTGTATTACAAGTGTTCTGAAATAGCATGTTTAAATATACAAATTATCCATTATCTCATGAAATATGCACATATTTTAACACATTTCAGGAATCGAAATCTGAACTTTGGATAAAGCCAGGTTCAAAATTCTTGTTTCATTTTGTAGTCATATTAGTATCTAAGGCTTTTACAGAAGGGATATTGGATATCTCTTTTTATCACTCCATAAATCAGAAAATACTGTCAACAGCACTAAAATATCAATTTTCGCCATGTTTTAGGTATACAATGTTGTATAATTCAGGCTATGAATGATATATGAACAAACCCTTCTGTAAAAGCCTTCATAATATTGATAGGAATATAACTGGAAGGTTTGGTGTATCTACGTGCTACTGAAGTTGAAATTTCGAACTCAGAGTAGGAGAAAAAACTCATTTTGAGAAAACGACCTTTAAAGATTGTAGTGAGGCGCTAGCTAAACCCTCCTGTTCTTTGGATGACAGCTTGCGCCTCGACGCACTCCGTGAAGGTATTTCATGTTCGGAGTCATTTGTTTTTTGTATAACCTTGCTTCGTGCAAGTGACAATTGTTGTCGTCTTCTCTGTGAAAGTTTTTTCCCCGTTCTTTTGCTATTTTGAGATTTCAATTTCTAGCGGAAAGCTAACCAGGAAGTGTTTTAGCACACCACGTGACGCATCTGAACGAATCACGTTGTCAGAAATTGACACCAGCCAATGAGATTTCGTTTCTTGGTTTAAGACCCCTTTGTGCTTTCACGATTGGCTGCTGATACAAAGGAAATGACCATATTTGGATCCGATGCGATTGTGCAGGAGAGACACAGCTTTCCAACGATATCTCTGATGACATGGTGCACACAGCGGTCGCGGTACTTTATGTTACGTTAGAATGCTAACTTTTGGTGAATTTAGGATAAATCTACAGACGCAAATAGACAAACTATAGTAAAATAAACACTTAAATGTGTATTTTGTACGTTTTCCTTCCAAAAGCCTGAAAGAAAACATGTTATAGAATCAAAATAGCTCAAATTGACCAGTACTTGAAAAACGATGTTTTTGCCTGCCGTGTCTCGCCTTAATGACATAATTCATGATGTCACAAGTTTGTCAGAAGATGTCCAACATGTTTATGAGGATCTGCGTACAATCTCAACTCCAGACCAGGACACGCGTCGAAGAGTGGATCTGTGTGCAGAGATTTCTAAGTTTGTCATCATCAGAGCCTCAAGTCTCCTGGATGGAAAGGTTCCAGAAGGAGAAAAGAAAGATTGGCCTGAAGCAGGTTCTCTCTTTAACTCAAGCACCTACACTTCTTCTTCGAAAAGCAACTCCAAGCAATCGAACCAGTCTTCTGTGAAGCGACAAGAAGCTGCTGAGGCTGCTGCAAGCCAAGCTGTTCTGAAAGTGTTACAAGAACAAGAAAAAGAACATTTGGAGATTCAGCGCCTGGAAGCAGAAGCTAAAAGAAAGATAGCTGATCAAGAGACTGCAGCCATAAGACGTCGTTCAAAAAGAGAATCAGAAGAGTTAAGACATCGTTCAGAAAGCGAGGAAGAGGAAGCTAAAATTAAAGCTCGCCTAGAAGAAGAGCATGTAGCTCTACAACAGACTCTGGATGACAAACGGAGAAAAATACAGCATTTGGAAGCAGTAAAAGATTTAAATGCAGCACGAGCAAGAATGCAAGTGTATGACCAAGAAGAGTCCATTAAAGAAGAATGGAAAGACGTGATAGAGAGGGATCTGGTAAGTAACCCAGTGCCTGCTCCCACAAGTCCTCAACGACAGGTTGTCACTACTTCCTCAAGTGAAAGTACAGCAGAGCTTGTTAAGGTGCTAGCTGGTGCCTTAACTGCCAACAGAATTCCAGTTCCTGAACCCTCAGTATTCAGTGGGGATGCATTGAAATACAATGACTGGAAACTTTCATTTGAAATACTGATTGACCAGAAGAACATCCAAGACAAAGAAAATATATACTACTTAAGGAGATATGTTGGTGGACAAGCTAAGAAAGCACTTGATGGTTATTTCCTGCTCGGAACCAAATCTGCCTATGTTGCAGCATGGGAGATTTTGGAGGAGAGATATGGGAATCCATTTACAATTGCAAAAGCCTATAGAGACAAGCTTCAATCGTGGCCCAAGATAGGATCTAAGGACAGCTTTGAGCTCAGAGATTTTGCAGACTTTCTCCGTAGTTGCGAGGCTGCCATGGTCCATATCAAGGCATTAGAAATCTTGAATGACTGTAATGAAAACAGGCAAATACTTTCAAAATTACCAGATTGGCTAACTGCAAGCTGGAATCGGAAGGTTACTGAAGTCCAAGAAGACAGTAAACAATTTCCCTCCTTCAGCCAATTTGTAAAGTTTTTGACAAGAGAAGCAAATATTGCCTGTAACCCTGTCACATCATTGCAATCACTGAAGCAAGGTGAAGCTGGAAACACCAAATCTCAAAGACAACAAAGCTTTGCAGCAAAGACACTGACCACAAGTTCAGACGAAAACACCGTCTTAACATGTATTCTGTGTAAGAAGAATTGGCATTCCTTGCACAATTGCAGGAAGTTCATGGAGCAAGCTGTTCCAGACAGAATTAAGTACATTCAAGCTCAGAAGCTATGCTTTGGATGTCTCGAGACTGGCCATCAGTCAAGGAGCTGCCACAGTAGGAGTGTATGTGAAGTGTGCAAGAAGCAACATCCTACCTGTCTGCATGAAGAGCGTACAAATCAAGAAAGATACAAAGAAAGACTTCAACCAACACAACAAGAAGAAAGAACCACAGCGGCTACTTCCAACAGAGTAATACTTGGTGAAGGTAACACGCAAACAGCTGCTATAATTCCAGTCTGGCTTTCATCCACATGTCAACCAGCAGAAGAAATCCTTGTATACGCTCTGTTGGATTCTCAAAGTGACACAACATTTGTGCTAAGTGAAGTAGCTGAGGCTTTGGAAGCAAGTAAACAACAAGTCAAGCTCAAGCTATCTACTATGACCTCAAGAACCACAGTTATAAGCGCTCAAAGAGTGAACAACCTACAAGTCAGAGGCTTTTACTCCGGTAAAAAGATTCCCTTACCACCAGTCTATACACGTGACTTCATTCCAGCCAACAGAACTCGCATACCAACAGATGAAACTGCAAAAGCTTGGTCTCATCTAGAGCACCTCCAAGGAGAGATTGCACCTCTGCAAGACTGTGAAGTGGGTCTGCTCATAGGGTACAACTGCTCACAAGCTTTACTTCCAAGAGAAGTTGTGTTTGGCAAAGAAAATCAACCTTACGCACAACGTACAGACCTTGGATGGAGTATTGTCGGAAACTTGAATCCCTGTCTAGATTACGGAGACGCCATTGATGTTAGCCATCGCATAGTAGTAAGACAAGTGACACCAGGTGTAGAACCTTCTCTCAGTCTCAAAACTGAAGTACACTATGTGAGCCGAAACAAAGTTAAAGACATTACTCCCTCAGAAATCATAAAAATCCTCGAATCAGACTTCTCAGAAAGAGTTGGAGAAGAGGATTCTGTGTCCCAAGAAGATCTCAAGTTCCTGTCGAAGTTAAGAGAAAGCATCACACACAAAGAGAATGGTCACTACGAAATGCCATTACCATTCAAAGGCGAAAGACCAAAATTACCTAACAACAAGACGTGCGCAGTACACCGCCTAAATTGTCTTGAAAGAAGACTTAAAAAGGATCAGAAGTACTACAAGGACTACGTCAACTTCATGGATGACATCATTTTACGTGGTGACGCAGAGAAGGTCCCTGAGGAAGAAATCAACAACAATCCAGCCTGGTACATTCCTCACCATGGAGTTTATCATCCACAGAAACCAGGAAAAATACGAGTAGTATTCGACTGTTCTGCCAAGTACCAGGAAACATCCCTCAACGACCATCTGCTCACTGGTCCTGATCTGACAAACACGTTGGTGGGTGTACTGTGTCGCTTTCGCAAAGGTTCTTTTGCTGTCATGTGTGACGTCGAAAGAATGTTCCACCAGTTTCATGTGAAAGGGGAAGATCAAGATTATCTAAGATTCCTGTGGTGGGAGAGCGGAAACTTAGAAACCAAACCATCCATCTACAGAATGAAGGTCCACTTGTTTGGAGCAGCATCGTCTCCTGGCTGTGCCAACTTCGGCTTAAAACATCTGGCAGCACAAGGGCAGGGTCAGTTCAGTGAAGACGCCGTGCGCTTCATTCAAGGAAACTTCTACGTCGACGATGGGTTGGTAAGCGTTGAAACTGAGAAAGAAGCCATTCAACTTGTCAAAGAATCCAGAGAACTTTGCTGCACTGGGAAGTTAAGACTCCACAAGTTTGTTTCTAACAATGAGAATGTGACGGCGACCATCCCAGAAGAAGAACGTGCAGCAGTTAAAGATCTTGACATGGCTTTAAGTTCATCGCATATGGAGAGAGCTCTAGGAGTGTCACATCTGACTCATTCAAGTTCAGAGTTCAAGTAAAACCCAATCCTCTAACAAGAAGAGGTGTGCTCTCTACCGTAGCCTCCGTGTATGATCCCCTGGGGTTCATGGCACCCTTCATCCTCTTGGGTAAACAGATACTCCAGCAAATGTGCAGAGACAAGATCGGATGGGATGAAGATCTACCAGAGAACTTAAGACCTCAGTGGGAGTCCTGGAACAGAGATCTACCCAATCTGGCTGAGATGCAAATTAAAAGATGCTTCTTACCTTCAAGTTTCGGTAATGTCAAGACTTATGAACTTCATCACTTTGCGGACGCAAGTGTCTCGGGATATGGTGAATGTACTTACCTTCGAGCCATTAACAAGTCAAATGAAGTCCATTGCTGTCTGGTAATGGGAAAGTCTAGAGTTTCACCAACCAAAGTTACAACTATACCAAGACTGGAACTCTCTGCTGCAGTTGTTGCAGTGAGAACCAGCGACATGCTCAGGAAAGAGTTGGAAATCCAAGACCTTAAAGAATTATTTTGGACAGATTCAAAAGTTGTTCTTGGCTACATAAACAATGACGCCAGAAGGTTTCAAGTGTTCGTAGCTAACCGCATACAGAGAATCAAGTCCAGCACGAAGCCTGAACAATGGGCTTATGTTGCTTCAGAAGACAATCCAGCAGATCATGCCTCTCGAGGTTTAACTGCAAAGCAACTGAAGACTTCAAACTGGTTCACAGGACCAACGTTTCTTTGGCAAAAGGACCTACCTGTAAGAGAATGCAAGGTGGGAGAAATCAATGAGGATGATCCTGAAATTCGCAAGGCTATCGTGTGCAACACAAAGGCAAAAGAAGACGGGTCATTATTGGATCGCTTACAGAAATTCTCTGATTGGTCAAGGGTAGTAAGAGCAATTGCAAGACTGAAACGACATGCCAAAGAACACCAAGGTACGAAACAAAGAACCAATGAATGTACAACCATCGAAGAAAGGAAAGAAGCAGAACTTTTCATCATCCAGCTAGTTCAAAAGGAGTCCTTCTCAGATGAGCTAAAGAGCTTGAAACAAATGAAAGCAGTTACCAAGGCCAAAGACAGTAACCTGTTCAAGCTGAATCCATTCCTGGATGAAGAAGGTATCCTGAGGGTGGGAGGACGCTTAAGTCAAGCTTCATTGCACCCACATGTTAAGCATCCGGCTATACTGCCAAAGAAAAATTATGTATCAGCTTTGCTTATCAAGCGCCTTCACGAAAGACAACATCATCAGGGACGTGGAATGACGATGAACGAACTGCGAGCTAATGGATGGTGGATCCTGGGATGCAGCAGTGCGGTCTCTGCGCACATCTTTAACTGTGTCAAGTGCAGAAAGTACAGAAGACGTCCTGAAGAGCAAAGAATGGGTGACTTACCTCAGGACAGAACGGAAATCAGTCCGCCCTTTACCTATACTGGCATAGACTGCTTTGGTCCGATCTATGTTAAGGACGGAAGGAAGGATCTCAAAAAATATGGTCTCTTACTTACCTGTTTATGTTCAAGAGCCATACATATAGAGATGATCGATGACATGACTACTGATGCATTTATCAATGCTTTAAGAGCATTCATGGCCATTAGAGGTAATGTTCGTCAATTGAGATGTGACCAAGGCACTAATTTTGTTGGTGCAAGAAGAGAGTTTGCAGAACTCATGAAAGGAACGGATCAAGAAAGAGTGAAGGATCTAGGATGTGAGTTTCTTATGAACCCTCCAGCTGCAAGTCACATGGGTGGTGTCTGGGAAAGGCAAATAAGAACTATAAGAAGTGTTCTTACAGCTATTCTGGATAAATCAGCACAAAGGCTCGACAGCACCTCCCTGAGGATTTTCCTGTATGAAGTCTTGGCTATCATTAACAGCAGACCACTCACAGCAGAACATTTGAATGATCCATCCGGACCCGAACCTTTAACTCCAAACCACATACTCACAATGAAGTCCACAATCATTCTTCCTCCACCTGGTCAATTTGTAAAAGAAGATCTTTACCTTAAGAAGAGGTGGCGCAGAGTGCAGTATCTGGCTAACGAGTTTTGGACAAGATGGAAGAAAGAATATCTTTTGAACTTACAGCCAAGACAAAAGTGGCATAAAGACAGAAGGAACGTGAAGGTCAACGACATCGTCCTTCTACAGGATGATCTGACACCTCGTAATGAATGGAAGCTGGCCAAAATCACAGAAGTCTTTCCAGGGTCAGATAGTAGGGTCGGAAAACTTAAATTACTGGTTAGCCAAACCACATTAGACAAAAAGGGGAAACCCACAATTAGGACTGTGTTCCTTGAAAGACCTGTACACAAGGTTGTTACTCTGCTTGAGGCAGAATAAGGTGTTTAATGTGTTGCCTGAGATTCCATGTTAAGTTGTTATCTACAGGTAATGTCTATTTCAAAGGGTAAAGCGTTTACTTTGTACAAACAATCTTTTGTGTGAAATCTCACGAGTAATGTGTGATTTGGTGGGAGTGTAAGTGCAGCCTTTACATGTTCATAATTTAACTGTAATGTGTATTTTCTAAGTGTACTAATTATTATTGTTGTAATGTTTCATGCGTGCAATATTTCGTCTTTTATTTTGAAGTCCAAGCTCACGTCTCGTTATGCTGTTCTCGCGTGAGTTAGAGAGCGAGAACATGAGAAGCACCCTCAGAGTAAGATGCACGGATACTTAAAGCTCCGTTAGTTTTGTATTCTTATACATATAAGTTGTGAAGAGAACTGAAGAATACTTCCCTCTGTTTACAGAGCATGCAGCCCAACGAGGTATGTTGTTGTGTTTGTATTACTTTTATGTTTATTATCTCACATGCTGTGCATGTTATTGTGTGTCTAACACGAAACTATGTTTGTCATTTATACTGTTTGTTTGTGTGTTTGTTTGTGTAGTTTTCACGGTGGATTCGGAGGAATAAACCCGTTATGAGAAAGCCACTTGTGTCTGCCTGTGCTTCGAGGGAATTACAGCGAGTAAAGAGGACTAGAAGAGGACTGAAGAGCACCAGCTGCAGGATCCTCCAATCGCGGATTAAATAGGCGATGCCCGACAGTAAGGTCAGTCCCACACCGCAGAACGTTATGGTGATTGTTGTGAAACGAGCAGCGTAAGAGGGACCAGTCCACTCCACCCCTGTAACACAGATATATATAGACATTTTATGTATTAGGATAAACCCCTTGAGAAGCACCATCTCGTTTTCAATGGGGTCCCGACAAAAGCAACATCTTACAGACATACATGAACAAAATAACCGAAAGCAAAGCATGACAAACCACGTACAGTCTGTTTAGTAAAATGCATGTAATACAATCATTACAATTGTATAGACAGTCGTGTCTAATAGATCAGTTTCATCAATGACAAGAGCAGACCAGCTGAAAGTGAGCATATTGGGATTTAATCTATTCTTACGTTTCATTTTGGAGTGAAAATTGAGTTTAGTAGAGGTTGCCAGCTCAGTGTCATCTGTCCCTTAATATCTGTAATAATTTAATATCTAACATAATGTCCGTGCACCACCTGAAGTTAAACCAAGCTGCTACTTCCTGTCCTATCTTTACTTCTTTGGTGAACCTAGATGTGACACGAGATGGCCTTTCCATCCAACATCACTCACAAAAGTGTCAGCTATAAATATAGTGTCAAATCTGACAAACCACCAAGATTAATTAAGTAGTATACCCAGGGCCGCCTTAATGCACGGGCTGACCTGGGCTGAAGCCCAGGGGCCTACGGAGATCAGGGGCCTATCATGAGCCAATAAAAAAGTTTTTTATTTCGGATGTTTTTAAAAAACATTTAAATAAACAAAGTCTTGGCTTTCAGAATATGAAACTTTTACTTCCAAAATCACACAATAAATACATTTTTGAAGCTTGTAAAGGGAAGATGACAGCTCTCACTCGCCACTCACTCCCCCTCCCTCCGGCTGAAATTATGAATGTAAGGCGTATAGTAATCATAGATAACACGGCAGGGTCCATTACAGTTTGTTTTCATCTGATTTCAATTAAACAAAGTCTTGGCTTTCAGAATATTAAACTTGTTTCGGCAAATTCAGATGATAAATACAACGTTGAAGCTTGTAACGGCATAATTACAAGCGGAGAACGGAGTAACTTGACGTCACAGCAGGCATAACAACAGCCGGTGTTTCTCGTGAGTGTTTTCCCCGGGAAACAAACACAATACACACAAACGCAAAAATACACAAACACGCACGTATACATACACACACACACACACACACACACACACACGTGAGCTTCCCCCAGACCAGTAATCCAAACGAAAATATCTTCCCTCCTTAGTATTTTGATCATTTGCTCCGCTAATCAATCAGATCAATGGGTTCCAGAGATTTTTCTCAAAAATTATGACTCCATAACAGTCAGTGGGCACCACTTCACAGCGAATGAGAATATGTTTCACATGTGACTTATTAAAATTGCGAGTGATTGAGTGACAGATGAAGGTTGTTTAGGAGAAAAAGTTTGAGAGTGGCGCTCGGGAAAGGAAATTGTTGAGGGAAAAGGAGTTTCGAGACAAGCAGCTATTACAAAAAATGCCGAAGCTTACAGGTTATTCTAAACCTGTAGGCCAGGATGAGGAGGAAGGACAGATTAGTTCTGTACCGAGCGGTAGCGGTGCCGGCCTCGGAGCCAAGTAGGCCGTCTGGTTCTGATAGCGATGGAGTAGCGGGAGAGGAAAAACAGACAGGAAGGATGTTGGAGGAGATGGAGAGGACGACGAGGCCTTGCTACGTGGAGGGGAGCCAACGGCAACCAGACAAATACACGAGGGAGGTCCGATACGTCACTCATCTGGAGGAGAGGACCAGGCGCGCGTAGAGCAGAGTGGAGAAGTGCGATCACAGAGCCTGCCGAGGCTATAAATGACTTTGATTTGTTGTTTAAATAGGGGGCCTACAAAACCTATCAGCCCCAGGGCCTGATGGCAGGTTAAGGCGGGCCTGAGTATACCGGAAGTTAATAAGAGCGGGTAAACTCAAAGTTGGATGTGTTATCAAAGTGTGTGTTTAATGTAAAATGATGATGGGAAGAACAAACCTACCCAAGGTTGACACTCGAGGTGCCGCAGAGAAATTTGAAAACCATGTAAACGTAGATGTTGGGGGAGAAAGCTGAACCAACACTGAAGAACAGGAGGAGAGAAACACAGAGCAGGATCGAGAAGCGCCGTCCAAACCTGCAGGGAGAGGAGAGAAGACGTATGCTTTCACCTCAACACAATATAAACTACAGATAAGATTAACCACCACGGAGCACCACAGGAGGTCTTTCCACCCAGTGGCCATCAAACTCTTTAACTCGTCACCCTTCAGTAAAGGGAACTGAGAACTTCCACACCAACACTATGTGCAATATAAATATCATTACCATCATTACAAAACACTCGCTGCTATATGACATGTGCAATATTATTATTGTTAACAATGTGCTATGATAACGTGCAATTACGTATCTGCCACTGCGTTTATTTGCACTACTAAAGACTGTTAATATTTACATTAATTATGTGACCGTCTGTTTCCTGTAGATATTTAATTGCTCTTTTTACTGCACTGTTAGTGTACAGTTTTGCTATCATGCTGCTGTGTTTGTTGTATTTGTATGGCTCTGGCACAACAATTTCCTTCGGGATAAATCAAGTCTTATCTTAGAGATTATTTTTGTTATTTTCTAAAATAGAGATAATAACATACGTGCATAGATAAATACATAATTATTTATATTAATAATAATAATTAGATAAGGCTATTTAAAGAAAAAATAGACAAACAAAAAGGTGGATGTGTTTTGGTGTCTTACCGGTCAGAAATCGCCCCATAAGCCAGCGCTCCAACCAGAACTCCGGCCATGGAGATGGACTGGGACGCCTCGATCAAACCCCTCCTGTCACAAACTACATCAAACTGAAGTGAGAGGGGGACACAAATAAACAAAAACAGAGACCTTACTGCAGTATTTGTTTATAAAGTTATCAGTACAGTCACCACAGGCAGATAGAGGAGGGCATATGAGGTCACCGCTTCTCAAACATCAGAAACATTTACTTATAGTTTTAATAGTAAAGTGTTTAATATTTACCTCTGTCACGATGCTAGACGCCCCAACAGGTGCGTCATAGTCCCATCCATGTGTGCATCCTGTAGTCTTGTTGATGCCATACGCCTCAATGGTTTCCAAATCAAGATCCACAGGTGTGAACATCTCACAGCTCTCAAAGCCTCCATCCCTGTTCAGTGGGAGGGTGAGATTTCTTTGTCGCTCCTCCGTCAGGTTGGGTCCTCGCTCCAGGATCCAGTCGGTGTTACAGGAATGTGGGAAGTTCAGTCCTACAAACACCTGACCGGCGATGTCGAAAGCAGAAAAAATGCTGAGGATGCATATTCCAGCCAACAAGCGTTTCTGAAAGCTACCAAACTCCCCGATCTCCCGCAGGATCTTCCCGAAGCTGCTCATAGTGATGCTTGTCTATGCTGTGGTGCCACATTCACTGTGATGTGATGGATGTGCCAATCTGAAGGTGCTATACCTCAAGGAAGTGGGCAAAAGGTGCCAACTAACTAATATTTAACCATGGACATAAGATTAGTACGATGGACTTCAGACATAACAATAATAAAGTGTACACTTTAATAACCTGCCCATGCCAAGAGGTTATATGATGACTTAATTGAACTATTCATATCTTAAACTGCACTGTGACTTTTATTCATGTATTTCTTCTTTTAATGTTTATTTTATTATCTTTGCTTTTTAACTGCCATTTTCTTAATGTCTTTCATTTCTGTAAAGCACTCTGAATTGCCTTGTGTTGAAAGGTGCTGTATAAATAAACTTCCCTTGCCTTACAATGCTAAACCAATTCTTGAAGAGCACAGAAAATAATTTGTGCTGAAGTCATGATCAGATGTAAAAAAACAAAACGTGTGTCATTAACAGTGTCGGGACTAACGCGTTACAAAGGAACCCGTTACTGTAACACCGTTATTTTTGGCAGTAACTAGTACTCTAACGCATTACTTTTTAAATTCAGTAACTCAGTTACCGTTACTACATGATCCGTTACTCCGTTAGTTTTTTTTATATAGTCAACAGCCAGGCGAACAGAGATGAGAACTGTACTTAAGTACAGTACTTGAGTAAATGTACTTAGATACTTCCTGTGTCACATGCGGAGAAGGGCTGTGGGCGTGTTTATGTTGTTTACTAACAAGACTATCATGGCGGAGCTCAAGTCTAGTTTCTCCACCTGGAGATATTCTCACTATTTCACTTTTGTCGAGCACAAAGAAAAGAACGTTTTAGTTAAATGTAAGTTGTGTCTTGGCGGATCAAAGATCCTATCTACTGCCCAAACCAGTAATTAAAATCTCTTAAAACATCTGCAAAAACATGCTGGGACGAAGCTAGTAGCTAAGACCACAGAGACTCAGCCGACGCCACTCCACCTCCACCTAAGCAACAGCGGCTGGATTTTAACCAAGGGACTGCTAGCCAGGGAAAAGTCGATAAAGCCATTGCACGGTATGTTGTAGAACACATGCAGGCTATTGCTACAGTGGAGTCACCCGCTTTCAGGGAGCTAGTTAGCATGATAGCATGTCCGGGCGGCACACGGCATATGGGACGGAAAACTTTTTCCAACTACCTGGAGAAAGAATATACAAAAATGGAAAGCCAGCTAATATCGATGCAATCCAGATTGCATATAATGCATGTCAAGTTGATCAACAGATTGTATTATTCTCCAATGCAATAACAGTACTGAAATGAAGGCTATCCTTATAGCCTTCATTTCAGTACTGTTATTGCATTGGAGAATAATAAATGGGAGCCCTTTTTGTAAGTAAAAAAAAAAGTTACTTTTCACAGTAACGCATTACTTTTTGGTGTAAGTAACTAGTAATGGTAACTAGTTACTGGTTTTCAGTAACTAGCACAACACTGGTCATTAACAGGTTTTTGTAGTTTTACAACGGACGCAAAACATGTAGGCCTATATTTGAAGTGCCAATGTGTTTGATTACATTTTAAAAGTTGAATTGGTGACAGACTAGTTTTTATAATCTTTTCAGAAGCATTGGAAAAAGGGGACATGGAAAAAAAAAAAAAACGCTCTCGTGCTCACCAGTTAGTGAACCTGCAGAGAGAGGAGAGATGACGTATGCTTTCACCTCAACACAATATAAACTACAGATAAGATAACGCTGTCAAATAAAGGTGGATGTGTTTTGGTGTCTTACCGGTCAGAAATCGCCCCATAAGCCAGCGCTCCAACCAGAACTCCGGCCATGGAGATGGACTGGGACGCCTCGATCAAACCACTCCTGTCACAAACTACATCAAACTGAAGTGAGAGGGGGACACAAATAAACAAAAACAGAGACCTTACTGCAGTATTTGTTTATAAAGTTATCAGTCCAGTCACCACAGGCAGATAAGAATTTACAGAGGAGGTCATCGCTTCTCAAACATCAGAAACATTTACTTATAGTTTTAACAGTAAAGTGTTAAGTAAAGTTACCAGACTTACGTGTATGTGTGTAGATATCAGTACAGACATTATTTAAGTTATATTTAAATCTCAGACTTCATTTAAGGACTCACAAGATCTAGTAACTTCATCCTGAGCACAAGCACGTTTTTCTTTGGTTGTTTTGGCCATCTCCCCTCAGGGGCGCCGTAGAAAAGTGTATTATTGTACTGGATATACTGTATGTATATCCCAACTTTTAGTAGAAAACCACAACTAATGTACACCACCTGTTAAAGCTGGGATGAATAAGATAATACAATGAGTACAGACAGTTACAGTACATGTAGCTGTGTTCACCTCTTAACCTGTGTACAGTGTCAAAGTACAGTGTAAGGGAAACTTCTGTGTAGCAATGCAGTGGGAGTCACCGACTCAGGAAGGAGACACGGTAGAGCAGGAGCTTTTGATATCAAACACTGGAGGTTTATTTGGAGTTACGGCCGGAGGATTCACATCACAAGTCCAAGAGCCAGAGGTTCTGACTTCACGGTAGAGTTGCCACGTCAATTCTAAAGAACTCTACCTCAGACCCATGTATTTAACTAGTTCTGAGAGCATCATCAAACTGCTGCATAACAAGATAAAATCATAACACCTCTATCAGCTGACGTCAACAGACAGGAACATAGAATCAGAACACCTCTATCAGCTGACGCCAACTGGCAGGAACATAGAATCATAACACCTCTATCAGCTGACTTCAACAGACAGGAACATAAAATCATAACACCTCTATCAGCTGATGTCAACAGACAGGAACATAGAATCATAACACCTCTATCAGCTGACGCCAACAGGCAGGAACATAGAATCATAACACCTCTATCAGCTGACGCCAACAGGCAGGAACATAGAATCATAACACCTCTATCAGCTGACGCCAACAGACAGGAACATAGAATCATAACACCTCTATCAGCTGACGCCAACAGACAGGAACATAGAATCATAACACCTCTATCAGCTGACGCCAACAGACAGGAACATAGAATCATAACACCTCTATCAGCTGACGTCAACAGGCAGGAACATAGAATCATAACACCTCTATCAGCTGACGCCAACAGGCAGGAACATAGAATCATAACACCTCTATCAGCTGACGCCAACAGACAGGAACATAGAATCATAACACCTCTATCAGCTGACGCCAACAGACAGGAACATAGAATCATAACACCTCTATCAGCTGACGCCAACAGGCAGGAACATAGAATCATAACACCTCTATCAGCTGACGCCAACAGGCAGGAACATAGAATCATAACACCTCTATCAGCTGACGCCAACAGGCAGGAACATAGAATCATAACACCTCTATCAGCTGACGCCAACAGGCAGGAAAAGGGAGACAGAACACTGAGAGCACAGCAGCCAAGGTTACTAGGTGCGTGGGCTCAGTCAGGACAGTTTGAACTGATAAACTGGGTCAAAGTTATGGGCCTTGGAAAATATTCCACAACAGTTTTTTCTTTTTATCAATTTTGATAATCTAAAAACCTTAGTCTAATAATATTTTGTTCAATACTTAAATCAATGGGAATCTTCAGATTTGAGTGTGGACTTACACAACATCAATTACATCAATAACAATCACATTAAGATTGAAACATTCAATCACAATGATTGATACAGCCAATCCATCCATCCATCCATCCATCTTCTCCCGCTTATCCGTGGTCTGGTCGCAGGGGTAGCAGTTCCAGCAGAGAGCCCCAAACTTTATTTTCCCTGGCGACATCAACCAGCTCTGACTGGGGGATCCCAAGGCGCTCCCAGGCCAGCGAAGAGATATAATCCCTCCACCTGGTCCTAGGTCTACCCCTTGGTCTCTTCCCAGTTGGACGTGCCTGGAACACCTCCCTAGGGAGGCGCCCAGGTGGCATCCTTTCGACGCGAAGGAGGAGCGGCTCAACTCCGAGTCCCTCCCTGATGACCGAACTTCTCACCTTATCCCTAAGGGAGACGCCAGCCACCCTACGGAGAAAACCCATCTCGGCCGCTTGTATCCGCGATCTCGTTCTTTCGGTCATGACCCATCCTTCATGACCATAGGTGAGGGTAGGAACGAAAATGGCCCGGTAGACGGAGAGCTTTGCCTTCTGGCTCAGCTCCCTTTTCGTCACAACGGTGCGGTAAAGCAACTGCAGTACCGCTCCCGCTGCTCCGATTCTCCGGCCCATCTCACGCTCCATTGTTCCCTCACTCGAGAACAATACCCCGAGATACTTGAACTCCTTCACTTGGGGTAAGGACTCATTCCCTACTTGGAGTGGACAGTCCATCGGTTTCCTGCTGAGAACCATGGCCTCAGATTTGGAGGTGCTGATCCTCATCCCAGCCGCTTCACACTCGGTTGCGAACCGATCCAGTGAGTGCTGAAGGTCGCAGACCGATGAAGCCATTAGAACCACATCATCTGCAAAAAGCAGTGGTGCAATCCTTAGTCCACCGAACTGCAGACCCCCTCCCCCATGACTACGCCTCGAAATCCGATCCATGTATATTACAAACAGGATTGGTGACAAAGCGCAGCCCTGGCGGAGGCCAACCCTCACCGGAAATGGGTCCGACTTATTGCAGAGGACCCGGACACAGCTCTCGCTTTGGGAGTACAGAGATTGGATGGCCCTGAGTAGAGACCTCCTCACCCCATACTCCCGCAGCACCTCCCACAGTAACTCCCTGGGAACTCGGTCATACGCCTTCTCCAAGTCTACAAAACACATGTAGACCGGATAAGCGTACTCCCAGGCCCCCTCCAGGATCCTTGCGAGAGTAAAAAGCTGATCCGTCGTTCCACGACCAGGACGGAATCCGCATTGTTCCTCCTCAATCTGAGGTTCGACAATCGGCCTGACCCTCCTTTCGAGTACCTTAGAGTAAACTTTCCCGGGGAGGCTGAGTAGTGTGATGCCTC